ACATGCTTGTTCCAGCATCGGCACATCCACCCAACATCATGCATGCACGCCAGGTCCAAGCAAGAACATCTGCTGGACTATATGCGATGGAAGAAACGAATGAGGTCCAAACCTCCCCAGAGGCCCAGGCTAAGAAAAGTGACAGGCCACTCTCACCATCTACAGCCTCCCATGTCAGCGAAGGATGAGACCTACTGCAGACTTCGCTCGGAGGTTCGGAGCGCGGTGCACTGCTGCAAGGTGGTTGCTGAGGAGATGGAATATGCCTCAATAGCCCGCGATCACAAATCACTCTTTAACTCCATCAAAAAGTAACTTTAAGTGCCACATCTATCACCATCATTAGGCGAAAGAATGGTGATCCGATCTGCGACACCCAAGAACAGGTTTGCAGATTTGCTGAGCATTTCCCTGAAGTTTTGGGGAAGGAAAAATCCCTCAGCCCGGAAAACTTCATGGGGCAAATTTGGGATGACCCTGTTGAGGCTGCGGTGCCTCCAATATTGGAAGAAGTTGTCACCCACTGAGTGTCTCGCAGAGGTGTCATCTGTTGAGGAAGTACAGACGGCGATACAGAGTCTGAGACAAGAAAAAGAAACGGTTAGAGTTAATCTCCCAAGCGAAATGCTGAGGGAGGGTGACGTTTGTGCACAGACTGCCCGAGATGTGGACCACTGGACAGGTTCTGCAGGATGGGAAGGATGGCCTGGTGGTCCCCCTCTTTCAGAAGGGGGACCCGCACAGACTGTATCAACTACAGGGGCATCTTCCTCCTCAGTGTGTACTGGGAAAGATCCTGGCAAGGATCATTCAACATTGCCTTACCAGGCAATGTGGTTTCAGGCCAAGGCAGTCCTGCATAGATGCCATATTTTCTGTCCATTTACTACAGCAAAGGTAGGGAAGTCCAACAGGACCTACATCTCTGCTTTATTGACCTGATCAAGGTCTATGATACCATCAATAGGCCTGGGCTGTGGGTTGTTCTTCGTGCTTTTGGAGAATCTGATTCTCTGCTCACAATAATTAAGGGCCTTCATGATGGTGAGTGGGCCCGCGTAAAACTACATGGCCAGGAGTCAGAGCCATTCCCTATTCATTTTGGGGTGTGACAGGGATGTCCTCTGACTTCCGCATTATTTAACATCGATATAGACCACATAGTTCGTGAAGCCTTCATTGGTTGTGTAGTGACTGTGAATGTCACTGTGTGGTGCCAGGCTTGCAAAGCCACGGCGGTTAATGTGTTGGCATTACGTGTAGCTCGCTTACTGGGCGTCGTAACAGCCCTAGCAGGGCTTGGGTGAGCGCTGGTCAGCGCGGAGGCACCACGTACAATGTGAGGTGCGGGCTCCCGGTGAGAGAGCGAGAGGGAGTGTCAGCCAGCCAGGGTGACGTTGGGGCATGATACGCTGGTTGACCTGCCGACACGTGACCGGGCGACATTGGAGGGGGGGGGACACCGGTGGACGGGGGCCATTGGGCGGTCACGTGGTATAAAAGAATTCTTGGGAGCCTTCGGGGAAAGCTCGAGAGATCTAGAAGGTGGGCGGGCGAGGGCGGAGCCAGCCCCAACCCAGACGATATAACGGGGGCCCGTAGGGGCTCGTGTTCTTTGGGTTGGTGGTGAAGAAGATCCACGTCGGGTTATGAAGCCTCAAGCCACGCGGTCCAGGACCCAGCTCGTGGTCCAGACCGGGATAGCAAAACCGTGTCTAGTTCTGCCGTAGCGTGGTTAGATGGGCGTTCAACACCCAAGTGTAGGTTAGTTTATGTTGAGTTGGTGCAATAAATAGTGTTGCTCCCAAGACAACGTCTGCGACTCAGTTGGACTCACTAAGTTGTACCAGAGGAAATTTCCATCTGGTACAGATACCATGGGAGGCTGATTGATGCCCAGGTGTTTTCAAGGGATGGCTCACTACTGGTCAGCTATGTAATGTATGCTGATGATCTGGTGATTGCTGCTCACTCAGAGGAAGAGGCACTGCTGCTGAACCTGGAGCATGCCACGAAGAGTTGGGGCCTTACTTTCAGCCTCACCAAAACTAAGCGCCTGCATGGATATGTTGTGCCATCAGATACTCTACCCAACAACTGCTAATGGGGATGGAGCAGTTGTGGAGAGAGAAGAAAGTTGTCCATACCTGGACAGTGTGCTCATGACTGGCTCCGGTTTGACAGCAGAGGTCTCGCTCTGAATCAGTCAAGCGGCATTATTATTTTCATCGGCTGAGTAACACTTTGTGGAAGCTACCTGGTCTGTCGCTCCACACGAAGCTTCAGGTCTTCTCGGTCACAGTAATGCCCTCCCTTCCCTATGCTTGCGAAACGTGCACCCCCCTAATGGACATCTTCCGCCGATTAGAAACATTTAGGCTCGCTTGCCAACGATTCATCCTGGGCTTAACCAGGCTGGATTGTGTGAAAATTTCACAAATCCTGAAAAAGATCTGGACACAGTCCCATCGGTGAGCTCCTCTGGAAGGCAAGGCTGCATTGGCTGGGTCATGTAGCCTGCATGTCCAGCCACCGCATGCCTGAACAGCTTTTGTTCGGCTGGATAGACAGGGCTAAACGGTCACGGCATGGGCTCGAGAAGAGATGTAGGTCCTGTAAATTTGCCGTTGACTGGTACGAGCAGTGTCAAGATCAGCCTCTGTGGAAAATGCTCGTGAAGGACGCTGCTACTGGGCAGTTGGAGGCAGTCGCCTCCAGCAACAACGAGGGTAGAGGAGCGATGCTCAAAACAACAATCGGAGTGCCGGTCGGCTAAAACACAGCGAGTTGGCACAGTAGGGGACACAGGTGGTGCATCAGCCAGTCATCTCAGTCAGTTGACCCGTGGCACATGATGGGTCTGCCCTGTGACCTTCTTCCAGTAGGCGTTCAACAATTCACGTGGCCTTAACATGCACCTAGCCTGGCACAAGCGACGTGGTGACGTCAACACTACTTGTGGTGAATGGCGGTTGTTGTTGAGTGGATGATTGAGTGGATGAGTGAGTGGATGAGTGAGTGGATGGATGAATGAGTGGGTCACTGATTGAGTGATTGGGTGGGTGGATTAGTAAGAGTGTGAGTGAGTGGTTGGATGAATGAGAAGGTGAGTGAGTGCGTGAGTGAGTGGGTGGGTGAGTAAGCTTCTTGATGTCTACACGCACCACGGGTGCTGGTGGTTGTGGCTGTGAGAGTCCTCAGCAGCCTGAAGGAATGGGCCCCTCTGTGGACTCATACCACTTGGTTAGTTAGCAACCATCATCCATCAGACACTACACTATACACCACACTACACAATACACTACACTACTATACAATACGCTATACACTACACTATACACTACACATTCCACTACACTGTATACTACACGACTATACACAACATTATACACAATACTATACACTGCACTACTAGACACTATTAATAATAAAGGTGTTTGGGTTTAGATCGCGTTATTTATAAATGTGTCGTAACCCTCCACCACCCGACACAGCCAATCAGTAAAAAAGTGTCACGTTTGCAAAGGACAAAATAATTCACTTCTTTAGCCCACCGGTGTGTTGAAGAGTGAATCAACATCATTTAAAATTTGAGTACGACGTTTCGCTGGTAATTACATCCAGCTTCATCGGGCAATTTGCCAGAATGGTAAAGCCCGCCCATTGCTCCCGGTCTTAAATAGAGCAGCAGCAGGGTGACGTCATCATTTAATTCATTCTGGTGCAGTGATTCGAGATGGAGAAGGGGAGGGTATTGTAATTATATAGATTGGTAATCATTCAATTGTTATTCATTGGTATTTGTTTCCCTTATAAGGAATTGTAATTGTATTATATATCTTATTTATTTAATAATACGCTTCCAGGCCGCACTAAGCCTGTAGCTGTCAGAGCGATTAAAGTCATTTCTATTTCTCTCAATTTCAATGGGTTCTCTAATTAGTCTTGGCCAGTAATAATTAGTTTCACACTACACTTCAGCGTTATCAAAATCAATTGAGTGTCCTTGTTGACAAGCCACTGCCGACAGTTGTGTTTGAAATAATTTAATGTTTCTTTGGTGTTCTTTTAGTCTTACGTTGATGTTACGTCCCGTCTGTCCAATATAGCATCTGCTATACACTACTCTATACTATAGAATACACGACTATACACTACTATGCACTCCACTATACACTGGTCTACTATGCACTACACCATACACTGCACAACAATACACTACACTAACCTATACACTACACTACTGTACAATACAGTATAAAGTACACTATACATTACACTCTATAATCGAGGTTTTTTTGGGTTAGATTTCCTAACTTTATGCGATCTAACCCAAAAAAACCTCTTATGGATGATATTGGTCGCGAAAACCTACGTGTTAAACACGATACACTGCTATACACTAAACTACTATGCACTACACTACTACATACTACACGGTACACTACACTACTACATACTACACTACACAATACACTATAATAATATACACTACACTATACACTACACACCTTGATCTGGTGTCCGGAGGAGAGGGCTGAGTGATTGATCCACGCCAGGTTTTCCACACCCCACCCGATCGATCCAACGTGGTGTTTGGTAAAGGCTAGGATCGCAATCACCAGCATCACCATCATCAGCACCAGCATCAGCAGCATCAGCAGCAGCATCAGAATCATCAGCATCATCATCAGCAGCATCATCAGCATCATCAACTGCATCAGCATAATCAGCATTAACAGCTCCATCATCAGAATCATCATCAGCATCGTCATCATCAGCAGCATCAGCATCATCAACATTATCAGCATCAGCATCGTCAGCATCATCGTCAGCATTATTAGCAGCACCACAAGCATCATCACCAGCATCATCACCAGCATCATCATCAGAATCATCATTAGCATAGTCAGAATCATCATCAACATCGTTTGCTTCAGTGTCAGCATCATCACCAGCCTCATCAGCATCAGCATCATCATCGTCATAAGTATCATCATATGCATCATCATCAGTATCATCATCAACAGCATCATCAGCAGTATCAGCATCAGCATTTACATCATCAGCATCTACATCAGCAGCATCAGCAACATCACTAATGATCATCATCATCAATCAACATCATCGTCGTCATCAGCATCATCAGCAGCATCATCAGCATCACAAGCATCATCATCATCAGCAGCAGCATCAGCAGCATCATCATCAGCAACATCACTGATGATTATCATCATCAGCAGCATTATCAACATCATCAGCATCATTATCAGCAATCAGCAGCATCAGAAGGATCAGCATCATCGTCAGCGTCATTATTGGTAATAACAGGTGGCCGTGGGGGTGCTGGATCGATCAATATAATTCATTACATACACACGGCGAGTTGAGATGGGTGGTAGACATTAAGCTGACTGTGTGGAGTGACAAATGTGGAAAACAGAGAGAGAGAGAGACAGAGGAGAGACAGAGGAGAGAGAAAGAGATGAGAGAGAGACAGAGGCGAGAGAGAGACAGAGGATAGACTTTTGACTTGTTAACAACTTTATTTGCCTCCAGCAGTAACAGCACTAGAGGCGATTCCGATACGAAATACAGTCACCAGCAAACAAATAACAAATACTATAAATCCATGCGCTGTGGCGCTAAACTCGCCGTGCACAACGCAAGAGAAAAGTCACGTGGTGGTGGTCATCGTGCACGCCACGGCGACGAGCGAGCACTTCAGAAGGTGAACATGCGGGTGCCGTCCACGCTGGTACAGAGGGCTTTTCCGACCCCCCAGTATTCGAAGAAGACGTGCTGCACATCACTGGCATGTTTGTGGTATGTGTGCTCCAGCTGGAGCCGCGTCTTGAGTAGGCCCCGGAACACTGGAAGCACAGAGCAGCCGTCAGTGTCACCTTCCAGCATCTTTTTTCTCGTTCTGTACACCGCCATCTTCGCTTGAGCACAGGCGAAGTTGGTGAGGTCATGGCGCTTGTTAGCCAGGTAAGGCACCCCATATACGAAGCTGCTGTTGTAGAAGGACACCCCCAGTTTCCTGAAGATGTCCCCCAAAAGGCGGAACATTGGTTTGAGCCGCTGGCAGTGTTAGTACTGGTGGGGCAGATCCTCCCTGGCACCGCAGGAAATGTACAAGTCTTACCCCCGATGGCAAAGTGCAGTTTGCCAATTTCCACTGGAGGTCACCGCATAGTTTGGCTACGAGAGACTTGTACATTTGTTTCCACTGGGGGGCAGCCAAAATGAGGGGAGAGAAATTATCTCTCCATTTTGTGTCCGGTAGGTCGGCCAGGTCCCGGGAATGCAGCGCCTTTACACAGCACGTGTAGAGGGCTTTGTTCGGGCCGCTCTTCAGGGGCACGTTCCTGCAGCCTGGGAGCTTCAGTAGCTTGCCAGAATCGCTGTGGCCAGGGGGCTGCGCGCAGGAGAAGCACAACTTGGAGAAGGAGGGGTGGGGGAGGGCCGCCACCATCCCCCAGTACCTCCAGTTTCAGGTGCAGCTCCCTCATGGTCCAGAGCACGTCCCGCAGCAGCTTCTCCCCGGCGAGCATGAAGCGGAGTCCCACGGTGCTAGCAATCTCAGCTTCGGTCTTCCACTTGCACTGGTGGGCCTGCACGAGGTCGAAGACTGTCCACAGCCCTGCTGATGTGAGGCGTAGAGCCAGGGTCCTCTCTTCTCTGATCCCCTGGAAGAGGCCGTTGCAGAACAAGGTCTTGTTCAGGAAGAGTCGTAGGGTACGTGCGTTCTGCTCCATTCGAAGCTCCGCCACACGTCCAAGAGGCTCTGGTAATAACCTGGCAGCCTCGTGGAGTCGACCAGGCTCAGGTCCATAAGGAAGAGCTCCTTTCCATACCCCTGAGAGACAGGGAGACAGCAGGGTGAGGGCTGGCAACTTCCAGGGTAGCTCCTCCCGGTCGTACAGCAGCCGCCTGACGTCCATGAGCCTGAAGCTCATGACCCTGACGGCGACGTCCACCAGACCCTGGCCACCCTCGCCCACCAGTAAGCAGAGAACGCCCGGCCTGAGCCAGTACTTCCCATGCCAGACCAAGTGGGCGAGTGAGCGGTTGACTCTGGTGAGTAGCCAAGCAGGAGGCTGGAGGGCCTTGGTCCTGTGCCACAGCACGGATGCTGCCAGGGTGTTAGCGATGAGCACTCGGCCCCTGAAAGAGATCTGCGGAATGAGGCGTGATCATGTCAGCAATTTAGCCTCGATTGTATCGGTCAGCTCCGTCCAGTTGTTCAAAGTGACGTGTGGTTTCCCCAGGTAAACCCCCAGGTACTGGACTCCATTGGCCTGCCAACTGACTCCTGGGAGCACGGAGTGAACGCCGCCTCGCGACCCCAAACACAGGCCCAGTTGACCCTGAGGAGGCCCTCTCGTACACTGCAACCGCCTGGCAGAACGTGGAAACGTCATGCGCGTCATTGAGCACGACGCATATGTCATCTGCATAAGCCGAGAGCCTGACGACTGTGTTCTCAGGTCCCGGACCTTGAGGCCAGATAGATTCGTCTGAGGTGGCATAGCAGTGGCTCAATGGACAGGGTGTACAGCAGCCATGTCTGACCTCCCTCATCACAGGGAAAGGGGTGCCGAGCCGCTGGTTTATTTTCAAGAGGCTGGATGTGCCCGTGTACAGGAGCCTAACATGCGAGATAAAGACCTGGCCGAAGCCGAGCGATGTTAGGAGTTTGTCCATCCTGTCAAAGGCCTTCTCCTAATCCAAGAAGAGGAGGCCCAAGTCCATGTTATGCGCTTCTGCAAGGGAGATTAGGTCACTGACCGTACCGATGTTGTTGTATATGCACCGGCCGGGGATGCAATACGACTGTTCCAACAGGATCAGCTGACCCAGCGCTGTCTTGAGATGGATTGCCAGCACCTTGCAGAAGATTTCATAGTCGGCGCACAAGAGGGAGGACACGGGTCGTCAATTCTCGACGAGGCGCAGGTCTCCCTTCTTGGGTAGCAGGGAGACCACCGCTCTCCTGCAGCTCTGTAGGAGTTCACCCTTCTGCAGGCCTCTCCGTCAACAGTTGCAGTAGTGGAGGGCCAAGCTCATCCCTGAAGGCCGCGTGAAACTCAACCGGCAGGCCGTCAATCCCTGGGGCTTTTCACAGCGGTGTAGAGCACCTGCAGGGTAACGGGGCTGTCCAGACGATCCTGCTCGGGGACTCCTAAGGTAGGGCCCCCGTTCAGTAGCTCCTGGACAGCCTCGTCGTGTATGGTTTTGGTGGCGAAAAGTTGCGAGTAGAAACCCCTGGCGGTCTTGGCGATCTCGCTCTCAGATGTGGCTGTTTGTCCATCTGGGGTTCGCAAACTGGAAGTTGTGTTGGTGTTGGCCAGTGCTTTGTTTAAGCGGAAGAAAAACTTAGAGGGAGAGTCCATCTGCGACAGGTGCTGCATCGTTTTTCACACAAAAGTACGATGTTCCTGCTCGTTCGTGATGGACCTGAAAAGTCGCTGCATCTCCAGTAGCGTCTCACCCTGCTCTGTGCCTTGGGATGAGCTCAGCTCCGCCTCTATCGCCAGCAACTCGTTCTGCAGTTGGCGCGCCTCTTCGTTCTTGGTGGCGGCGTGCTGGCTCATGAACTGCTGACAGAGAGCCCTGACCTGCGCCTTTGTGTTGTCCCACCGTAGCTGGTAGGAGCTGAAGCTTCTTTTGGCAGGCAGCCACTGAGCCCAAAAGGCTTTGAAGGTTTCCCTGAAGTACGTTGAGTCTCCAGTAGGCGCTGTGCTGCTCCGCTCTGGGAATTCGCAGTAGCATGGAGACTAGGTGGTGATCGGAAAACCCGGAGGGAACGATTTTACTGTCCCCGAGCAGGTTAACGCTGCTGGCATTGATGTACAGTCGGTCGAGCCTGGCAAGGCTTATCCTGCCTTGGAGAGCCGCAGCGGCTGGATGCTGTAGTCGCCACATGTCATGCAGATCCAGTCTTCGCACGAGGTCGACTAGCGGCCGTGCGGATTCACGTTGAGGTTCAGTGGTGTTGCTGTCGAGAGCTGGGTCGAGGGTGCAGTTGAAGTTTCCGCCCACGACGGTGAGCACGTCGTCCATGTCGTCTGTCGCAAGCGCGTCCCGCAGCGCGCCGAAGAAGAGCTTCCTCTAGCGGGCCCTGCTCGGCGCGTATACGTTAAACCACCTGAGGCTGGAGTTATTCAGGACGAAGTCGACAGAAATCAAGTGACCTTTGACAATGTATTTTAAGGAGACGTTCTCTAGCGCAAACCACGAACTGAGCACAATCGCCGCGCCGGCGAGGTTGTCCTCGGCGTGGCTGAAGGAGGCCCCGGCCGCCTAGAAAAGGCTGGCGTTGAGCCTCCAGAGTGGCGTCGAGGTGAGTTTCCTGGAGGAGAGTCACATCTGCTTTGTGTTCCCCAACAAAGCGGCAGATCTGGTCCCAGCTCTTGTCGCTGCGAGTGCTGTTACAGTTCAGGTGACGAGGTTGAAGCCGTCGTCATCCTCGTCGTCGGTCGGCAGTTTTGCGCGACCGGCCGCCGACTCAGCGGCGTGCTGCTGCAACAGCTGGCACTCGTGCTGTGGTGCCTGCTGTTGCTGCTGCTGAGGCTGTGGTGGCTACTGCTGTTGCAGCTGCTGATGCTGCCGCTGCACAGGCTATGGCGGCTGCTGCTGCTGTTGCTCCTGCTGCTGTAGCTGCTGCCTCTGTCGGTGCTGCTGAGGCTGTGGCGGCTGCTGCTGCGTGATGTTAGTTGCAGGCTGCACGTTTTTTTCTTTTGGTTTGCCCGTGCAGTTTGCACGGGCATGGCCGAAGCCACTGCACATGTAGCAGCGTGGCAACGCGGTCGACGCGTACATGGTGTAGGTGTTGCCTTCCGTCGTGTACTTAAAATTCACATTAAATTCACGTGCACCAGTTCTGTGTCCCCTGTGTGCAAGGGCAGCATGATGATGCGGGACACAATTTTGCCGAACCGCTCAAGGTCTCGTTGTAGGTCAGCAGTTTTGAGGAAAGGAGGGCAGTTGGAGAAGAGCACTTTTTGCGCGGGGGAGGTGTGCATTGCACAAATATCTCCCCCTTAAAGGTGAGCCCCGTGGCGATGACTAACAGAGAGAGGGAGAGATAGGGAGAGATAGAGAGAGATACAGAGAGAGAGACAGAGGGATAGGGAGACAGACAGGGACATACCTGTGTTAGGATTTCCCGTAGTGATGAAGTTTACAACGGAGTTGACTCTGCTATCAGCTAAGTGTGGTCTGTAATCAGTGATACCGTCCGGACCTACAGAGAAACATTACATTATAAATATTGAGTGAGTGATTGGGTGAGTGGGTGAGTGAGTCGGTGAGTGGGTGAGTGATAGACTGAGTGAGTGGATAGGTGATTGAGTGGGTAAATGAGTGGGTGGGTGATTGAGTGGGTGGATGAGTGGGGAGTGAGTGGATGGGTAAGTGAGTGATTGGGTGAGTGATTGAGTCATTGAGTGAGTGGGCGAGTGAGTCGGTGGGTGGGTGATTGAGTGATTGGATAAGTGAGTGGGTGAGTGAGTGGGTGATTGTGTGGGTGAGTGGGTGGGTGAATGAGTGATTGGGTGAGTGAGTGGGTGATTGTGTGGGTGAGTGGGTGGGTGATTGAGTGATTGGGTGAGTGTGTGTGTGGGTGAGTGGGTTATTGAGTGAGTGGGTGGGTGATTGAGTGATTGGGTGGGTGAGTGAGTGAGTGAGTTCATGGGTGAGTGGGTGGGTGAGTGTGTGGGTGATTGGGTGTGTGGGTGATTGAGTGAGTGTGTGGGTGAGTGGGTGGGTGGGTGAGTAGGTGGGTGGGTGAGTGGGTGGGTGGGTGAGTGGGTGAGTGGGTGGGTGAGTGGGTGAGTGGGTGGGTGAGTGGGTGAGTGGTGAGAAGATGCATGAGTAGGTGAGTGAGTGAGTGGGTGACTGAGTGAGTTAGTGATTGAGTGGAGAGTGGGTGGGCGGGTCATTGAGTGATTGGGTGAATGAGTGGGTGAGTTGGTAGGTAGGTGGATGATTGAGTGAGTGGATGAGTGAGTGTTTAGGTGAAGGAGTGAGTGGTTGATTGAGTAGTGGGTGAGTGGTGAGCGAGTGGTAAGTGGTGAGTGAGTGAGTTGGTGAGTGAGTGAATGAGAAGTGAGTTAGTGGGTGGCTGAGCGAATTGGTGCGTAGGGGGGGGGGTGATTGATTGGGTGGGTGATTGAGTGAGTGGATTCTTGAGCGAGTTGATAAGTGGGTGAGTGAGTGGGTGAGCAAGTGAGTGGCGAGTGAGTGCATGAGTGACTGAGTCGGTGAGTGAGTGGTGAGCGGGTGGGTGGTGAGCAGGTTGGTGGTGAGTGACTGGGTGAGTGAGTTGGTGGCTAAGCGAGTGAGTGGTTGGATGAGCGAGTGAGTGGGTGTGTGAGTGAGTCAGTGGGTGGGTGAGCGAGTGGGTGATTTAGCGAGTGGGTGAGTGGTGATTGTGTGGTGATTGTGTGAGTGAGTTACTGAGTATGTGCGTAAGCGAATGGTAGAGTGAGTGAGTAGTGAGTAAGCAAGTGAGTGGGTGAGTGAGTTGGTGGCTGAGCGAGTGGTTGGGTGAGCGAGTGAGTGGGTGTGTGAGTGAGTCAGTGGGTGGGTGAGCGAGTGGGTGATTTAGCGAGTGGGTGAGTGGTGATTGTGTGTTACTGAGTATGTGCGTGCGTAAGCGAATGGTAGAGTGAGTGAGTCGTGAGTAAGCAAGTGAGTGGGTGAGTGAGTTGGTGGCTGAGCGAGTGAGTGGGTGATTGTGTGAGTGGGTGCGTGGGTGCGTGGGCCAGTGAATGAACGAATGGGTGAGCGAGTGAGTGGCTGAGCGAGTATGTCGGTCATTGTATGAGTGACTGAGTGAGTGAGTGGTGGGTCAGTGAGTCAGTGGTGAGTCATTAGTGAGTGAGTGGTGAGTGAATCACCTGTGTACAAGACTCCAGCTATCGGTGATGCATTCCTCGTTCTTCTGGCCATCACTCTACAGACAAAGACAAAGCTGCTCCAGGTAGCCTCTAACAGGGCTGTAGGGGCAAGTGCTGTTACACAGACCCAGCTGCAGACAAAGCTACCTACCCGCAGATAGCCTCTAGCAGGGTTGTAGGGCAAGTGCTGTTAGTAGTAAGTAGCAGCACCGATGAAGGCTACCGACACTGTGGCACACACAGAGGGGGTGGGTGGCCAGCACCACGCCCGGCCGCCTTTGTCTCCCCAGTGGCGATGTTTAGTACACCACCATCACACCTACTCACCCTCTCACCAACCCAGCCACTCATTCAACCACTCACGAACCCACTCACTTACCCACCCACGCACCCACTCACTCAATCATCCACTCATCCACTCACCAACTCTCCCAGACTCGCACACACACAAACTCAGACACACACATACAGAGACTCACGCACACACAGACTCATTCATTCACACACACACAGACTCACAACACCAACCTCCATTCGCCACTAAGTGGCAGTGACGTCACCATGGCGGTTGTGCCAGGCTATGTGCACCTTGAGGCCACGTGAAGTGTCGAACGCCCACTGGCAGGAGGTCACGGGGCAGACCCAGGTGCCATGGATCGACTGACTGGCTGATGCACCACCTGTGCCCCCTACTGTGCCAATTTGCTGTGTTTTAGCCGCCCAGCGCCCCGCTCATTGTTGTGAGTCGCTCCTCTGCCCTCCGTTATTGTTGGAGGGCGACTGCCTCCAACTGCCCAGTAGCAGCGTCTTTCACGAACCTCTCCACAGAGTCCGATTTTGACACTGCTGGTACCAGTAATCGGGAAGTCCACTCAGCTCCACATCCTCTTGTACCATATCACTCCATGTTTTCTCTAGCCTGTGCCGTGGCCATCTAGCCCCCTCTATCCGGCCAAACAAAAGCTGTTTAGGCATGCGGTGGCTGGGCATGTGGGCTACATGACAAAGCCATCACAGCCTTGCCTGCCGGCGGAGATCACCGATGGGAATTTGTCCAGATCTTTCAAGGATGTGTGAACTCCTTACACAATTCAGCCTGATTCTTGACCGCGGGCCATTGAGGCAGATTCCATCTTCTCAGCAACCCATGACCACCACCCATCCTTGTAGCACCTCACGGCTCTCCGAACCTCTGAGCGAAGGCTGCAGTAAGCCTCCTCATTCTCTGATGTGGGATGCTGTAGACGATGAGAGTGGGCCTGTTGCTTTTTCTCAGCCAGCTTGAACGCCATCGCAGCTGCATGAGCCACAATCCAAAACTTCACCCATGTCCTCTAGACATCAGAAGTAGCGGACGATGCCAATCCCAGCTGCAAGCGATGCTGAAATTTTTGCTTGCAACTTTCATCGCTAGCTGAGACCATGCCACTAAGGGTTTGAATGGTGTCCTGGTTGTGCACCCACCACCAGAGTGGAAGAATGGCAGGCGCATCTTACAGATGACAAGTCGATGGTCAGAGGGCAGATCAGCTCCACGGTAGGTCCTGGTGTCAAGGACATGGGCTCGCATCCGCTGTTATGTCACTATATAGTCCAGCAGATGTTCTTTCTTGGACCCTGCATGCATCCACTATATTGTGTGGATACGCTGATGCTGGAACAGCGTGTTGGTAATTACAAGCCCATGGGCTGCACAACGTTTAGCAGCCTCCTACTGTTGTTGTTGAGCTGATCTGGCCCATGCCTGCCAATCACTCCAGACCAGGTGCCAGCATCATGACCAACTCAGGTATTAAAGTCACCCAACAGGATGACTATATCCCGAGGGGCCACTTTAGCTAGCACCTGTGAAAGGAAGGCATCTGACTCATGGGCCTTACCTGCATCCCTCCACTGATGGGGGCATAAGTAACCACGATCACCACTCCTCGCCTCTAGTTGATGGGAAGTGAGCCCAAAGTAGCCTGGGGCTTACGGCTTCAAACACCTCACTGCCATGCTCCCATGCCCCATTCATTATTTTGTTCAGAAGAGCCAATCCCTGTTGTATGGCGGTCTCCTGACACAAGTAGAGGACTGTTCACCCCTGATGGTGACAGGAGCCAGAGCCGGTCCACCGGACCACCTGAATATCACAGAGATCCAGGCGGTACCGGTCCAGCTCCCAACAGAGGAGTGGCAGCCTCTCCTCCACAGTGAGCGTTTGAACATTCCACATGGCCACCTGCAAAGGCTTTGTGCTGTTTCTGGAGGAATCCAGAGGGTAAGGATTCAATATCCTGGCTCCGCCAAATTGGGTTTGGCCAGAAGTCATTGACGCCTGTTCCCCCGGGCCTCAAGCACAAACTTTGTTTGATCTTTTGTTACATTGTTTACGCAGACATACTCAGACACTCGCAGACGCGGGGAGAAAGACATGGGGAGAGAAAGAGACACGGGCAGAGAGAGAGAGAGACACGGGCAGAGAGAGACACGGTGAGAGACACGGGGAGAGAGAGACACGTGGAGAAAGAGACACGTGGAGAAAGAGACACGTGGAGAAAGAGACACGGGGAGAAAGAGACACGGGGAGAGAGACACACGGGGAGAGAGACACGGGGAGAGAGACACGGGGAGAGAGAGACACGGGCAGAGAGAGACACGGGGAGAGAGAGACACGGGCAGAGAGAGACACGGGGAGAGAGAGACACGGGCAGAGAGAGACACGGGGAGAGACACGTGGAGAAAGAGACACGGGGAGAAAGAGACACGGGGAGAGAGACACACGGGGAGAGAGACACGGGGAGAGAGATACACGGGCAGAGAGATACACGGGCAGAGAGAGACACGGGGAGAGAGAGACACGGGGAGAGAGACACACGGGGAGAGAGAGACACGGGCAGAGAGAGACATGGTGAGAGAGACACACGGTGAGAGAGAAACACGGGGAGAGAGAAACACGGGGAGAGACAGGGGAGAGAGACACGGGGAGAGAGACACACGGGGAGAGACACGGGCAGAGAGAGACACGAGGATAGAGAGACACGGGGAGAGAGACACGGGGGGAGAGATACACGGGGAGAGAGAGACACGGGCAGAGAGAGACACGAGGAGAGAGAACCACGAGGAGAGAGAGACACGGGGGGAGAGAGGGACACGTTGAGAGACACGGGAGAGAGACACGGGGAGAGAGACACGGGGAAAGAGAGACACGGGCAGAGAGAGAGAGACACGGGGAAAGAGAGACACGGGCAGAGAGAGAGAGACACTGGGAGAGAGATACGGGGAGAGATACGGGGAGAGAGAGAGACACGGGTAGAGAGAGACACGGGCAAAGAGAGAGACAGGGGAGAGAGACACACGGGGAGAGACACGGGGAGAGAGAGACACGGGGAGAGAGAGACACGGGGAGAGAGAGACACGGGTAGAGAGACAGGGGAGAGAGACACACGGGGAGAGACACGGGGAGAGAGAGACACGGGGAGAGAGACACGGGGAGAGACACGGGCAGAAAGAGACACGGGGAGAAAGAGACACGGGGAGAGAGAGAGACACGGGTAGAGAGAGAGACACGGGTAGAGAGAGAGACACGGGCAGAAAGAGACACGGGGAGAAAGAGACACGGGGAGAGAGAGGGACACGCTGAGAAAGAGACACGGGTAGAGAGAGAGAGACACGGGCAGAGACAGACACGGGGAGAGAGAGAGAGACACGGGCAAAGAGAGACACGGGGAGAGAGAGACACGGGGAGAGTTTTAGTTATGATGATAATTAATTACTCATTCACTTACCTCCACCACCAAAACCTCAAGTGGTGTTTGTGTGTGTCTGTGTGTTTCTATTTGTCTGTGTGTCTGTCTGTGTGGCTGTATGTTTCTATTTGTCTGTGTGTGTGTCTATGCGTAAGTGTCTGTATGTCTCTGTGTGTGTATCTGTGTATTTGTGTTGTGTTTTTGTGTGTCTCTGTGTCTGTGTGTGTCTGTCTGTGTGTCTGTATGTCTCTGTGTCTGTCTGTGTATTTGTTCGTCTCTCTGTGTGTGGAGTGCCTCTTAGTTTGAGTTGGTTAAACACCCCCAGAATGTCAACTCGGCGTTGCTAGGACGTTCAGTGCCATAGAAACTACAACCCACACAGCCACACACACACCCTGTCTCTCCCTCTCCCCGTGTCTCCCCCCCTCTCCCTCTCTCTCCCCCTCTCCTCTTTCCTCCCCCCCTCTTCCCCGCTCTCCTTTAAGATCATAGGAAAATAAAAAAGATGTTCAGTTTCTTCGGCATTTTGCTTCGGTCATTATGCCGTTTTTCACCATCATCACACGCCATCAATCATCATCACCACCACTACCCAACCATCATAACCAACACCCATTACCCTTCATCATCGCCACCACCCATCACCAATCATTATTACCACTTCCACCACCATCCATCATCATCACAACCCATCATCACCACCACCAATCATCATTACCACTACCACCACCACCACCACCCATCATAAGCACCACCCATCATCATCACCATCACCCATCATCATCACCACCACCCATCATCAGCATAAACACCCATCATCATCAACCACCTATAAAAACCACCATCAGCGTCAACACTGTTGTATAAATGGAGTCTTTATTTTTGTTAAAATTATGATAATTAAGCTCTGCCTCGTTGCCTAGGGTTTTATTATCAATCGGGATAATACAATGAATTGTATGAAGTTATGAAAGTGTGATGTAAGTATGCTGATTAAGCTCGGCTTCGTTGTCTAGGGTTGTATTCATATTCTTGGTTCTTTAGGTAAAGTCACGTCGGTAAAGTCACGCAGAAGGGAAATAATAAAAAATATATTTCTATTAACCAAGAATATGAATCCCTGCAGTCACGAAAGCTTTGAATCAAAATTTAGGGTTGTATTATCAATCAGCATTAACTTTTACTGATTATGTCTTCGTGTTTTATGTTAGGTCTCAAGATTCAGATTTCACCGCAGGATATAGTTCTAATTAATTAAGATTATTATGCATAAACTTAGGAAGGCACCACTCAGACACTTCTGTGTTAAGCAACTTTAATCTCTAAACAAAAACATAACACTCTTAACAGGACCCTGCGGGGTGGGCTGGTAGGAATAATACTTAGTACCGGTACAGGGATATCGACCGGGTATAGAGGAGTTAAAGACAAAATTACTGTATTCTAGTGTAACGTTAATTAAAAGTGTTTGTTTTGACAAGAAACGCTGTGAGATTTAAAGACCCCTCACCACCAGCCCTCACCACCAGCCCTCACCACCAGCCCCCACCACCACTGATTATAGCGCGCGCCTGTCGTTAAAATGTAACTCTTACACGCGGCTACTCGCGTTAATGTTAAAAGTGCAATTTATTTTTTATAAACATATTCAAATAAACGCTTAATATACCTTGCCACGCAAAAGCCTAAGGCTGTATACGAGGCGCTTACGGACTAGGCCTCAGTAACTTTAAAGTGACTAATACAGTTTATAAACTACTGATTATAGCGCGCGCCTGTCGTTAAAATGTAACTCTTACACGCGGCTACTCGCGTTAATGTTAAAAGTGCAATTTATTTTTTATAAACATATTCAAATAAACGCTTAATATACCTTGCCACGCAAAAGCCTAAGGCTGTATACGAGGCGCTTACGGACTAGGCCTCAGTAACTTTAAAGTGACTAATACAGTTTATAAACTACTGATTATAGCGCGCGCCTGTCGTTAAAATGTAACTCTTACACGCGGCTACTCGCGTTAATGTTAAAAGTGCAATTTATTTTTTATAAACAAATTAAAATAAACGCTTAATATACCTTGCCACGCAAAGGCCTAAGGCTGTATACGAGGCACTAACGGACTAGGCCTCAGTAACATTATAGTTGCGCGCGTCTCGTTAAAATGTAACTCTTACACGCGGCTACTCACGTTAAATGTTAACGAAACGCGCGCACTTTATTTAATCAAAAGCTATCTCAGGGAATAAGGGAATGTTACACGTGTCATGCCAAGTGTTTGCAGTAGGGGGCGATGTTGCTACCAGGATAGCGTCACTGAGTCTAAAGGTTTTTGTAGGGTCATGCCAAGTGTTTGCAGTAGGGGGCGATGTTGATACACGGAGGGACGGACGGACGGACACATTAATCTATTGGTGGTCTGGTCCACTTCGTTCCTACCAGTATAATCAAACTCTTATGCTTGGAATGTTAACACAGTACTCTTGGAGATGTCCTCCTCATTGCTCCGTACATTTAACCCTCAATGATTGTTCTGTTACCCAGTTTAACAAACGTAATCGGTTAATTCCTCAGTAAAGCGAGCATTCACGGCGATGGGAAAAAGTCCTTACAAATTAATGTGACAATATCCATACGAAAATCAATAAAAAAAACATGTTCCGAAAGCAAAAGTAGACCTCAATGAATTGATTGGTAAGATTATGCAGTGTGCCTGTCTGTCTAGCCCAGGGGTCGGCAACCAAAATAACAAGAGCCATTTCTTTCCAATTCGGTACAAAATTCAGTATTTCAAGAGCCGCAATGCATCTGAGAGTACTCACGTACATATCGTCAAGAAGCAGCCCGTAAAGAGCCGCATGCGGCTCCGGAGCCGTAGGTTGCCGACCCCTGGTCTAGCCAATGCTTATCACTTGGCTAAGGCTTCAATAAATTCGCGGGCAGGATTCTGTGATGAAAAGAAAAATTTCAACACAATAGTCTCCCTGTCAGTGTGTAGATTCGTAATGTAGGTTTCTAATGTTTCGTTTCATCAATGAATTCATTTTATCTTGGTCATGTGTGATTGACCAAATTTCACCTTGTATCGCTTCTGGATGACCCTCGGTCTCATACTTTATAATTATTATTTGGTTTATGTTTATCCAAGATTCGTGATGTATCATTGTTATTACCACGTATATTCCTAGGGTTTTATTATCCTTTGTTCCCCGTCTGTATCCAGGGATCCGTGCTGTTTATACTCGAGTTATATTTTGATATCCTGAGGTTGGAGATATAACTACGTTTTCACTTAAGCTTTCTTGACTGCTGGAATTCATATTCCTTGGTTCTTTTGGTAGAGTCACGTAGATAACAAGATTCAATAAGAAACAATGTGAGGTGAATGAGAGTAACATAAAGTAAGTAATAATGCAAGGCCACTAATGTGGACTGCAGTCTGGTTTTTAATCTGGCTGAGTGTTGGCAGAATGTCGTCGACGTATTATTGTCGCTAAGTTCCGAACTTTTACGGTTGTATTAAAATAAAAAAAAGTTGCCTGTTGTCCTCGTGGCGCCTGTTGTCTGTACGTTTTTATGCGGCTTTTGAAGCCGTGTAGAGATTTCCCCAGAATCTCATTAGCACCCCCCCCCCCTCTTTTTTTTGCACCGTTTTTTATATTACCTTTTATGGCTACTTCCTTGCCTGGTCATGAGTGTGAAAGGCAGCTGCTGTTTGAGGGGAGGTGGTTCGCATCACAACCTTTTTGCCCCAAGCGACACCGCGATTGATTATTATGTAAAAATATATATTGGCAAATTATCAATTTTGGAAAAAGGCCTATATATATACAACACCCATGGTCATCACTATCACCCTTCATCACTACCACACATCATAATCACCACCCATCATCACCAACCACCATCACCACAACCACCCATCATCATCATTACACACCATCATCCATCATGATCAACACCAAACCCCAGCCATTATAGCCACCACCCTCATCCATCATCACCACCCATTACAATGATTACCCCCCCCCCCCCCCATCATAATATACCACCCATCATTATCATGATTATCACCAACCATCATCATCGCCACCAACCACCCAGCATGACCACCCATCACCATCCATCATTACCACCAACCATCACCACCACCAACCTACATTGCGGGGGGTCACAAAAATATCTCCAAAATCTTCAATAAACACAAGATCCAGGTCCGATTCACAGTACATAAAATCCGTGATCTGGTCCCGTCTCTAAAAGATGTGATTCCAGACATACAGTACCCTGGCGTCTACAAACTAAGTTGCCTTTGTGGTAGCAGTTACATTGGAGAAACCAAACGACATGTCTCGGACCACATCCGTGAGCACAAAGCAGACCTAAAACACGGTAGGACCAACACCTCAGCCGTGGCAAGACCACTGTTATAATTCAGTGGGCTCACATGACATTGACTTCTCCAAGACAGAGGTTCTCTGCAAGCCATCTGCCTACCATGAGAGATTCGTTCATGAGGCTATCCGCATATACAGAGACAATTTCAACCGAGAAGATGGATTCTGGCTTAGCAAACATTGAAAGGATTTGATAAACCATTTCGGGTCTTAATTGATTGTGTTCACGTTTAGTGACTTTCAGACCGCATTCTATTCTCCTTCTCTCCCCCTCCTCCGTTCGAGCATAGATGGACTCGTCCATCTGGCCAACTGGCAAATCGCTGTTCGTGGTGCTGACGTTAAGAAAAAAACTCCACTTTTTTTCAAATTGTATTGCTGTGGTTTTCACACCTATGATTGCTTGTGTTGCAATCGAAACGTCGTGATTAAATTATTATTTTATTTTATTATTTCCCTTCTACGTGACTTTACCGAAAGAACCAAGAATATGCCTACAATTATTGTGTTCTGATTACTGGCACAATTGTGCACTACATTACATGTATTGAATGTGATTCAACACTGGGGAGGAGTCTGCCTTTAAGTTCAGACCCCAGCTGCTGCCATGTGTCTCCAATCTGTGCAGTCACATGGGTGGCATCGCTGACATCAAGTGACCTACAAAGTCATGCTTGGGTTATAACAAATAATTTAAGTATGGTCATATGACCCCAATGACCTACAAGGCATAAGGGGGCCTTTATCAAGCAGTCGATTAATACAAATGGGCTGTACATCAACATGCATGTCTGGATTAGAGGTTAAACATCATTAATAGTTTTTCCACTTTTTTCTGGCAACAAAACAGGTGTTAAGATGTAAAAAAAAACTGAAACCTATCACAAGGAATCATGTCTGCATTTTAACATCTTAACACCT